TGTAAAAATTGCAACTTTTGCATGTGATCTGGGTGCATACATATCTCGTGTAAAATACGCCACAACACTTTCTGAGAAGTACCCATTTAGAATGACACCGCTCGCGTACTTGTGGAAGGAGCTGCTACAATTTTCTATTAGTTCTTGGTCCGTACTTCTTCAAAGTTATGGTTTCTTCAGTTATGGAAACGTGCTCCATCTCAAATGCTCGGAATGCAACAATGATGAGAATTACGTAAATCCAGAATGGCAGCAGATCCTCTCTCGTGCTGTCATTGGTACTTTGCAATGCTCTCTTTTGCAAATGTTTTATGCCAGCAATTTTCGTCATTCGTGTATCGTTCCAAAACCTTTTATGTGTGCCACAAGTAATGTGCCAAGTTGTTTGTGGCCTATTTCCAGAACATTTACCTTTTTTAATACTATTGCGATAGGAAGAGAGCATAGCGGCGTCCAAGCAGCACAGAGGTTGAAGCTAAAAGTACAAATTTATCCAATATTATGTGTTAAGAGAAAGGTTTTCGTTTCAGTCCTCAGAGTTTCGGTTCCCAGTTAACTACGTTATCAGCGTTACACAAGCTTTGTGGCATAGATTAGTCTAGAAATGGCGCAGTCCAGAAATGTTATTATTCTTAGAATAAAGAGGAAATAACCAAATTAAAAAACTGCAATTATAAAGCTATTACTATATTAAATTATATAGCTGATTTACGTATTTTTTAACTTACATATTCAAATAATGCGTTAAGTTGTTTGTGGCCGCAACATGTTAACTGAAAATGAAATGAAGATTTTATATGCCTCGGCTCTCAGTTTCCTATTCATTATGATTAGCATTCTACGCAATCAGAATTCTTCCTCTTCAGTATGGATCCTCTTCAATATGCCATCTACGTGCTTCCTCATCAAAATTTCTGCGTTTCTGCATTTCGGTGTTCCTACATCAGTACTTCTAAAAATTTGTATGCACACACCCACACACATATATATAATTAAAAAACAGTTTTCTTAAAAAATAAAATATAAATATGCCTAGTATTTTCACGCTCTGCAAAATTTCCGTCTTTGTGAAACATTAGTTATATATTTCTTACTTTATATACGAGTATATACATATTTCCGAACTTTGTTATCCATGTCGGTGAGCTCAGTTTTTTATTCTTATATGCAATTTTTTTTGCTTTAAAGATGATTGAATTATGTTGTTCTTATGTTCCGATTAAGGTCTTTATGTCTTTAGTTAATTTGCATACAATAGCTGTAGAACAATCAATGATTTAAAGCTGTTTAAGTGGTTCTAAGCCTAACGTGGACGCCATTTGTTTACATTTAAAACTCTTAGTACAAGAGTGAATTAAGTCAGTTTGTGTACCAAATTCAATGTCTTTTTGCCGAATGGAAAACTTCAGTTTCGTGCACCGGAAATTTGGTCTTCCTGCCTGTTGACCGAATTGCTTGTTTTCGCGTACAAACTTGTTTTTGCTTACAATTGAAAAAAAAAAAAAAAAAAGGTAACTTTATTTATGGTTTTAGGTTTTACTGTATTTTAAAATTTTTAATGAAATGTTTTGAGTTTTTACGTATTTTCGCCTTGCCGCGAATTGAGAACTGAATTATTAAATGAGAAATATGAATCCTACGAAATTCGAGTAAATAAGTTTAAAGGAAATGCAGCAAAAAATATATATATTTTAATAAGCCGTATTAGGTCATGTGGTATCCACATCAGATAATTTATAGTAATTATTGTAATCTGTTGCCGCACAAGATGCTACTAGTAATTCATCTGATAATTATGAATGGAGTTTGCAATTTTGAGATTTATCTGAACACGAATTTTATTCCAAGAGGATATAGTTGCTAAATAACGCTTCTGAACATAAGTATAACCCAAACAATAATATGTCTTTCTTAGAAATGGTTAAAATGTGATTTATCTAATGGTAAAGTGAACTTCAAAAACATAAAGTGATGTAATTGGAACAAAAACAGGAAAATGTAAAAATATCCAAAGAAGCTATCTGAGATTGGCACAGATTTTGAATTACACTCTATCGATTTCGAAAACGACCTCACATAGGTCATATTTCTTGAAAAGCAAAAAATGAAATAAAGCTATTTTAAAATCATCGCATACCTATTATCAAATAATGATGAATGTGCATGCATTTATGTATGCACCTCGCATTGTGGAAAGTCGATGGCACCTACATCTACCCAATTTGAATACACGTAGTCCTACACCCCAACATCTGCACTTCAAAGTCAGAATTTGAAATTCGAATTGTTTTTTTTATTTCATATTTTGCGTGAATTTAATAAACTTCTGATTAAAAAAAACTCAGCGATATAAAAGCTTTGTGTTGCCACTTGGTAAAGCAAAAGTGTTTCATACAGAGTCAGAAAACATCGATATAAAAGAAATATGTTGCCACATGAAAAGCGCAATATTCGAAATTTGCGAATTTTCGTCTTTCGAATTGAATCAGCAAACTCAGCGGTTTGAAAGAAATGCCACTGTCGGGATTAAAATAGTTTTGTCTCCCCCACGCAGCTGTGTGCAATCGCGGTACAACAAAGCATACGATATTCAATTTCTTTTTTCAGATTTATTCTCTTGTTAATTAATAAACTAAACTATTTACAATAAACGTAAATTCATTTTGATTATAATTACTATTCCGACCAGTGAAATTTCATTAACTGGATTCACAAAAATCATTATTTATCTATATATACATTTTTACGACAACTATTTTAGGCAGTACAAGAAACTTAGTAAAAATAAAGTTTTGGTGTCCGCGATATTTCTTTCTGTACCTTGGGAATATAGATGAAAGTATGTCAGACCTATTCTGAACCTTTCGATTTCATTCTTTTGAGTTAAGCAAGAGTAAAAAGTTTAGTTTTAGCTCTTTATTAGTTCATGAAGTACTAAAACGACCTAATTATAAAATGTACTTCTTGTAACCATAGACACGGTGGGCGTAGCTGGCTAAAGAAACAAGCACGTAACTTATGATGAGTTCACTGCCCCCTTTAACTCTGTTACCTAAGTTAAGAAATGTCTAGGCATCCATTGATTTCTTGTTTCTAAATACCCCTTTCTCCATCCTTTTACTTCCTCCTTCTCCGTACATCACATAGATTCTAACGAAGTTCTGTTCCTTTAAGAGCTAATATCTACTCTAAAATAAAGAAGAATCTGTATACACGTATGCATGTGATCTACCAAATTTTCAAACAAATAGTCTTCCATCCAGATATGGGTGTCTCGAAACACGAGTTTTAAATTTCGAATTTGTTTTTCATTCATTTCATATTTTGTATGAATTTAAAGAACTTTGTTTAAAAACTCAGCGATATAAAAGATTTGTGCTACCACTGGGAAAAGCGTAACTATTTGAAATTTAATCGGATAATTCAGTTTTTTTCGGGGGAAAAAAATGTGTTGCCACTTAGCAAAGCCTAAAATATCTGTTTTTCAAATTTAATCGATAAACACGGTGACTTAAAGAAATATATTACCACAGTTTTCCGATTTAAAATATTTTTATCTTCCATGTGATCATTTGTTGTCGTTTTCTTTCAAATTTATCTGTTATTAATTAACAAATTAGGCGATCTTAAAGCAATAAATGCAGATTCATTTCGTTAGGTTTGATTACTTAGCTGGACCCGTAAAAGTATACTATAAGGATTCATTAAAACTATTATTATTATTTTCGAAATTCACATTTTGTCTGTATCACTTTTGTGTTCGAATCACTTTTCAAATGATTACCATAAAATGTTATCGTAAAGCATTATTTTAGGAAAAAAATAAATAATGAAGAATATGTATGTATGTGTTTATCTTCCTCGTATTATGAAAAAACGACGGTACTTAGAGAAATCGAATTTTTAATGTACATTGTCCTCCACCCGTACATGCGCAGTTTCGAAGTCCGAATATTGAACTTTGAATTTATTTTTCCTTTATTTCATATTTTGTACATATTTAAGGAAATTTTTTAAACAAGAACTTTTAAAGAATTGGAAGCACTGATTAAAATAAAACATTTTTATCTCCAGCGCGCCAAACTGTTGCCATTCGTCAAAATGCGGGACACGTATCTTTCAATTTTCATCCGTAAATTCGGCTATTGAAAGCAATGTGTTGCCGCTGTCGCTTATTATATCCACGCCCAGTATGTGCCATTCGGTAAAGCATAAGATATTTATTTAACTTTTGAATTTAATCAGTCTGTTACTCAGTAACAAACCAAGGGAACGAAACGCAGTTTTTAAAAATACTTTTTATACATTTTAAATTGACTAATTTAAATAAAAATGCGTTTAAATCATTAGATATCTAATTAGAAATATTAAATGTTTTTATGAAATTTAAAAAAATGTGTTAGCAGGAATGAGTCGAACGGCAAACTGGCAATCTACGCGAGAGCATAAAAAAACTTTCGTCGTTAATTCAATAATTATAGATTTTCTTTCTTTTTATATTGATTATAAGATATTGATTGTAAGATAAGTTGGTATCTTACAACGCCGACTGATTGCGTTGAAAGAAAGCCGCCGTTAGAGAGCGCAAAGCTGAGAAGAGCTAAGCTGGATGTACGTATGTAAATAATTAGTTCTTACAACAAACTAAAAGTAATAAAATGTGTGACATTTTCATGAGTCATAGAAAAGAGATTACATAACCAATCTAACCAATATAATTTTTACAGTTAACAAATTTTTAATGTTACCGAATAACCGTCGGTGGCAGATCATATTCACAATGATTCCCTCTACAGTGCCTTCCCAGAATTATGACAATATCCCACATAGAATGTTTTCAATAACAAACAATTCATACTGACTGGTTTAACATCTACTTGTGAATCTAAGAAATTCTTAGTGGCTCAAATACTTCATATCATTACTAAAACCCTTTTGGAAGGATCAATTCATATTTTTCAGTTATTGGTTTCGAATTAAGTCCAATATATTTATCTTACCATATGGGCAACAGCAGAAGAAAGCTGGGAGAATATGATTTTGGCATCATTTTCTGGTATTCGACCATCATTTGCAATCCTGTGGAACAATTCTCCTCCTTCTGCGAATTCCATAGCTAAAAACATCTTTGCAGGCGTTTCTATGACTTCATACAATCTGATAATGTGTGGATGCTGAATGGATTCCATTGCGGACACTTCCTTGCTGAGCATTTGTTTGTTCTTCGTTTGAAGCTTAGTTTTGTCAATGATCTTGACGGCCACTTTTTCTGCAATAAAAAGTTCATACACAATTATAAACAAAGTAACTCAAGTGTTATTTCTACAACTATTGATCCGAATAAGTGACTGTGTAGTTAAACGCTTTGCATCAAGGATTTTTTTGGATCTTTATCATCTTTGTTGTTGTCTTGTCCATATCACATGGAACAGTGGTTGCCAGAGCCTACTCCGAAGAGAGGTTGGACTTCTAATTTCCACCCCCAGTTAAAGAGAGCCCACCTCTCTACCCGTCCACCAATCCACACGAGAGGACTTTCAGCTCCTTGTATATTTGCCATGCCGCACCGACACTATACACTTACAAACACCCATGTCTTCTCCGGGATTCGAACCCTGGCCCTTCCGTACCGTAGTAGGCTTTTCTAACCACTATACCGTTTGGGCGACGACTTACCATCTTTAAAAAATATAATTATTACATTTCTAAAAGAATCGGCCGCTAATTTATAATGTCTTGCCCTGTTCATTTCAGATGTGGAAACGTTAATACATTTTCCTCCACAAGTAAAAAAAAAAAATCTTCCAATTGCAAACGATAATTCTTTCGATGTATTTTCATTTAAAATTAAGCATTATAACAAGAAACATTGGCTAAAAAAGCATTTAAACAAAAATTTAGATGGTCCAAATTATTGTGCGATTTACCTTTTGAACTTATTTTATCACAAGGAATATTTTGATGATATTTATTTTATAATAGGCAAATAATATATTTAGAAAAAATCTAAGTCTGTTGTAAGATTCGATTAAAAGCGCCAAGAAAAGAGAAATTTCACCAACTTGTAGAAACACGCACTGAAAAACGAGCTAAGCGTCCCCAAAAAGGAAACAGGAGGCAGTTGGGAGTTGAGATGAAGCAGTACTACCCGTCAATGTTTTAATACGTGAAACTTGTAATATTTTTGTATGTCGTAAATAAAAAAAAAGGTTCTTGTGAAGCATCAGCTATCTTTTTATCGTGAGTTTTACGGACTTTATTTCGGGTGTCTTCGGCACTGAGCAGAAAACCAGAATGAAAAGTGTTCAAAGTATTCCGGTTCAAATTCATAACAAGATCACCAAATTCGTAGTTTTGTGTTTCAATATTTAGTACAAGAGCTATACCAATAAGCTTAAAAAATACAAGTGTTCGAAAACAAATGTGATACAATATATGTTTTTTTTTATTATTCAAATGAGGAAGTAGTATAATCATATCAGCAAATATAAAGGCTTTGTACCTTTCGTTAGATAATGAACTGCCATCTTTACTTTCGAAAAATTTCCTTTCCCAACATCTCTGTAAAGCCTGTAGAAGCCAATACGAGTGCCAAGGGCTATTTCTTTTTTCCAGCGTTCATCATGTGACAACTTCTCCATCGCTTCTTGGTATGCAGATTTTTCTTCATTAGCTGTCGTGACGGACGAGGACGAAGATATCGTACTCTCGTCAGATACCGATCGGCGAGGTCTCCTGAATTTGGCAGGTTGAGTACTTACATATCTTGATTCAATCGGGATCTGAAATGGGCAAGATATTATTTCAATTCATGCATTAATATTTCCTATAAGGAAAAATAAATAAATAAATTAAGAAAAAAGTCTGAAGGGATTCAGATTTTAACATACCAGAGGATTTGTTAAAGTATTTTATCCTCTCGCTGAGCTCTCAGTTTATCAATCTAATCATGGACTAGGTGCTCCTTACCAGACATTTTTTTTTTGTCTTTTTAACTTTGTTATTAAACATGACATTGTTCGCATTTCGCCACATAAAATTCAACAGCAAACTCGCAAAATATTTAAAAACAGCATATCTTGAGTCTTGGTAAAATGTAAAGTGTTGGCATACTTTTTTTTATTTATTTGCTATATTATTTTGTTCAATAATACATGGCGATAATGTTTGGTGGCAACATTCCTTCCGTTGCTATATAATTTTTTATACTTTTTCTTTAAAAATAATACATGGCAATAACATTTGGATACAACATCCTTTTATTTGGAAAGTGATGCGGGCAAAAATATGAGGATTCAGACTGATGACACCCCTGGTGCTAATTGGGCAGAAAACACAACTGATGCTAATTACAGATGATAATTACTCTCTTGGTGCTAATTAAAGAAAAAAATCTGAAAAGATTCAGTTTTAACATCGCACCAGAGGGTATTTTAAGGATTATATGTAGTTTATGCTCTCGCTGACCTCGTACTTTATCAATCTGCTTTTGGACTCACACAACGTTTTTCATCTTTTTAACTTTAGATATTGCTGTCTTTGTACTTACGCCACATACACTGACGAGCCAAAATGTTATGACCATTCCCATATTTTTCAATGAACTCATCTGGGTGACATGGACGACACTTAATTAAGTGGAAACGGTATTTAACTGCTGCTACAGAAGGTAAAGAATCATTCTTTCACTTACTTTTGGAAGTGATGGGAAAGTCTGCTGATCTAAGTGAATTCTATAGAGGGCAGACTGTAATGGCCCGAAGACTAGGAACCAGTATCTCCGAAACTGCATGACTGGTAGGTTGTTCACGATCTGCCGTTGTTAGTATTTATGCAAAGTGGCGCTGAAACTAGCAGTACATGCCAAGGTGCTTGACGCCCACGCCGTCTAACATTACGCAGAAAAAGGACGTCGGAGACTGTCGCGCTTTGTACAGCAAAACTGGTCAGACACAGTACTTAAATTTATCCCTGAGTCATTTATCCCTGGGTCAGACAGCGGCTCAGCTGACAGCCCAATACAATAAAGGTCCAAATGAATGGGTTTCGGAACGCACAGTTCAGCGGACACTGTTGGATATGGGAATGCGCAGTAAACGTGCCACTCGTGTGGCTCTGTTGACCAAGTGTCATTGTTAACTACGCCTACAGTGGGCCTGGGAACATCGAGACTGCTCCATGGATAAGTGAAAGACAGTTGCCTGGCTAGATTAATCACGATTTCTCCTTTATCACTTCGCTGATAGGGGCAGGGTACGCAATCTTCCAGGCGCCCAGTTGCTTTCTCCTGTAGAACAGGTCATACACAACCTGGTATGCAGATAATATGCTTTGAAAGACGTTCTTCTGGACGGCTCTGGGACTCTTATTTGTGGCAGAACGCAGGATGAAAGCTTCGGACTATCTGAACATAACTGCGGTTCATTTGCACCCTTACATGGCGTATGTCTTCCCAAATGGAAATGGAATCTTCCAGCAGAACAACGCCCCATGTCACAAGGCTCGAATTTTGTTGGACTGTTTCTAGGAGAGTAGGGATGAATTCCAATTAATGGCCTGGCCACTTAACTTGCTGCCCGATAGAGCACATTTGGGATGTCATAGAACGGCAGCTCATAACTGAAACACCACAATGTTGGAATATCTCGACTTTGCGTGACCGCTACTTAGACATTTGGTACAACGTATCTCCAGTCATCTACTAAAATCTTGTGGCATCCATACTAAGGCGAGTTGCAGCTGTTTTGGAAGTCAAAGGTCGCCAAACGCGTTATATAGTAGGTAGTCATAATGTTTCGGCTCTTCAGTGTAAAATTCAGCAGTAAAATCACAAGATCTTTAGAATTCCCGATACAGCGTTATTGTTCCCATATATTTTTAGCACAGAAGGGTCATTAGTGTCGGACCTCACATATGCTGTCGATTTCACTTTTGAAATAAATAGCTACTGTTTAAAATTGTTACTATAAAATGAAAAAATATATAATAATGCTTTTAATAAATCCTTAATGGGCTGAACTAGTAATTGATGAAACAGATCAAGAACTGCGTTAATTATTTTAAATCGCTTAATTTGTTAATTAGAAACAGACAGACTAAATTTTAAAGTTACCTTATGCTTCACCAAATGGTAATAAACCGCGTGGAAGATATAACTATGTCATATCTGTGAGTGGCAACACATTTCTTTTATTAAATTTGAAAGACAAATATCTTATGCTTTGCCGACTGCAACAAGTTTGTAAAAAGAAAGTTGCAGAAAAGCGAGAGTTAAGACTAATACCACCTCTTGTACTACACCCAGAATTCTAAAGATATGCTGTTTTTAAATATTGCTACGAATTTTGCACTTAGATAGGCAATTTTAGTAGAATTATAAGTAAAATTGTTGCATTTTTCTGTACAATGTAGCGCGAGAAACCTATGTCGAAAAAGTAAGAATACAGGGGCACGTGCATTTAACATTGAATAAATGGGTATCTCGGTAATTTGTATTGAAAATTATAAATGTAATTGACCACTGTGTTAGCTGTAACCGTAATTTCACTTTTAAAGCGAAATAACTTAAATTATTTATTTAAGAAAACGCTTTTCCCATCTAACAGCACTGGAGAAAAAAACACAGCAATGAAGAAAAAAGTTCGCACTAAGATTACAATATTTTGAACTTTGTTTTGAAGATTGTATAAACTGCCAAAATTCAAAAGGACTGTCTTACCACGTTCCTGTTTCGATTTCCCTAGCAAAAAAGGAAATAAAACACTGAAATACTTCTGTCTTAACAAGGAATTCTTTCTTATGAATCTCACGTGATCATAATTTAATTATAGTCGTAATTTGTATTCAAAATTTTAGACGGAATAAAAATAAATGTGTTAAAAGCTGTTGATATTACGTGAAGATTTCTTTGAATATTCTGTTAGTGTAGAAACTTTTTTCCCCCACAGTATAATTTCCATGTGGCAATTTAGAATCTAATTATTCTTCATCCGCCTCAACGACTCATCTGACTAAATCCTATAAAATAAAGTTTCACGCCAAAAATGCCGTTTCTAAATTTGTGTCGCCCAGGTCGGGCTACCCCTTCCAGCTATGCCGCTGGGTAAATTATTAAGAGGCAATCAGGTGTAACTTTACAATATATAACTGAAAATGGTCTTAGATTGATACTACAGCTTTATAAATTTTCTGATTTTCTGTAGTATTAAATCTGTCTAATATATATACTATTCGTTTTGAGGGCTGAAAAACCGCCAAACTATGTTGATGCCAATGCTACCAAAAAACACCCTATTAAGAAGAGTTATAAAATTATTTTCAAAAAAATTTTTTGTGTGTGAGTAACACGTGCATACGAAAATATCCCTAACATTAACTAGGAAAGCCGAAATCTTAGTTAAGATAGACATGTTACAATTAATAATCAAATTTAATAAGGAAAAGTAACAGTTGCCGGGTACATTATAACGGCTTAAGAAATTCAGAGCACAGTACAGATGCGAGTACACAAGTTCACATATCTCGGCGAAACAGAGACGCACACATTTGTTGAAGTAGTTCCCCTTGACTGCCGGGGAAAATTCTTCTCTCCCCGTCAGCCTGTATGTTTGCCAAACGGGTTTACTGTTTCACCAATTGGCGCTTTTCTGTACAGTTTTTAAGTCCGTATCGCCTGTTTGGCGCTGCCCGCTGCATACTCCCTCCGCAGTGTCAACGAAATGTGACATACCGATGCGGGGGTCGGATTAATCGTCCAGAACGGGTGATACAAATGTCCGAAGTTTTTTTCACACTCTTGGAAGCAACTTGAAAAGAGTCCATGGTTACAAAAGCGGGTTTCAGTCTATCTATGGAGATCGTTTGCTTAGTCCCTTTTATTTCGAGATCAAACGTTTTATCTCGTCTTTCTAGCACATTAAATGGTCCATCATAAGGAGTTTGAAGTGGTTTTCTAACTCCGTCGTGTAGAACAAACACATATGTGGACTTGTGAAGGCGTGGATGAATGAAACATGTTCGCTGACCGTGGCTAGAAGTCGTGGTCGTGGTCGGGCGGACACTGGCAAAGTGAGATTTTAAATCCTCCACAAACTGTTTGGGGGAACGCATCCGGAGGTGTCGGATTGAAAAATTCTCCTGGGAGACGGATAGTCTTTCCATACACCAGTTCAGAAGTGGTTGCTCCTATGTCCTCTTTGAGAGCGGCGCGGAAACCCATCAGCAGCGTTGGAAGGGCAGCCACCCAGTCACTGGTATCGTGCGCTTTTAAGGCAGCTTTCAAAGGACGGTGGAATTCCTCGATCAGTCCGTTTCGCCTGTGGGTGGTACGGAGACATCCTGATCCTCTTGATTCCCAATAATTGGGAAAGGGCTCGAAATAAGCCGCTTTCAAACTGTCGCCCTTGGTCGGTAGTAATAACAGTCGGACAACCAAATCGAGTAATCCAGTGGTCATAGAAAGCCTGTGCTACTGTGCGTGCTGTTATGTCTGGTATGGGGGTACTGCTTCGGGCCATCTAGTAAATCTATATATCATAGTTAGACAGTAATAATTATTTTGAGAAGGAGGTAGGGGACCAACAAGGTCAAGGTGGACGTGATCAAACCTCTGTGATTGGTCTGGAAACTTCATTAACGGGGTTCTAGTATGTCTGCTTAACTTTTGCTTTCTGGCACGGAATGCACTGCCGTGCCCATTTCGCGCAATCTTTGCGGATGGAAGACCAAACAAACCGTGAACATATACTAACTTTGTTGATGCGCGAATGCCGGGGTGAGACAAATTGTGCAAGGTGGCAAAAACTTTCTCACGGAATGCCGGAGGAATGTAAGGACGGGCGTTACCTGTTGACACATCGCAATATATCGAAAAGCTACAATTCGGTAAGGTAACTTTTTTGAGATGTAGAACTTTTGACTCTTTAAGCAATGTTTGTAATTCTGTGTCGATTTCTTTTCTTGCATTTTAGCGATTTCCTCATAGTCGATAGGGTTAGGCATGCTTATTGCTTCTATACGCGAAAGTACGTCGGCAGCGATATTCTCCGAACCTTTTATATGGCGAATTTCAGTGGTGAATTGTGAGATAAAGTCTAACTGCCTAGCCGGACGAGGTGAACACTTATCCAAACGCTGTCGGAATGCATACGTGAGCGGTTTGTGATCGGTGATTAAAGAAAAGTTCCGTGCTTCCAACATATGCTTAAAATGCCTAATAGCAGCATAAGCTGCCAATAGCTCTCGATCATACGCACTATAGTTCCTTTCCGCCTGCGAAAGCTTTCGTGAGAAAAATGCGAGAGGCTGTAAATTTCTATCAACTATTTGTGATAGCGTTCCACCGATCGCGAAGTCTGACGCATCAACCTGTGAAACCAACTGGGCATCTTTCTTCGGGTGTGCCAAAAGAACAGCATTACCGATTAGCTGTTTGCACTTTTGAAATTCACTCCGCGCTTCCTCAGACAAATTCAGGATTGTCTTATCATTTTTCTTAGCCCCTTTTAAATACGAAGTTAAATGTATTTGATTCTGGGCTACGTTGGGTAAAAATCGACGGTAAAAATTTAAAAATCCTAAAAATCTCTGCAAATCTTTTACCGTTTTAGGAAGTGGGTAGTTAAGTATCGGTTCCACTTTGTTCGTCAGAGGCTTGGTACCATCTTTATTGATTATATGGCCTAAAAAGATATTTCCGGAACGCCGAAAACACATTTCGAAGCGTTAATTGTCAATCCATATGAAGTTAATCTTTCAAAAACAGTACGTAGGTGAGATTTATGCTCATCTTCCGTATCACTAAATATCAAAATATCATCTAAGTAGACGTAGGCGAATTTTAGATCTCCAAGAATTTCGTTCATAAACCTTTGAAAGGTTTGAGCTGCTCCGCACAGTCCGAAATTTAAAAACGGAAATTCGAAAAGACCAAATGGGGTGCAAACTGCAGTTTTCGGTATATGATCTGGATGGACTGGTATATGATGATATGCCCGAACGATATCAATTTTTGAAAAAATTGTCTTTCTTTCCGCTAAGCGTATTATTAAAGTCTTGTAAATGCGGGATAGGGTATCTGTCGGGTTCGGTGCACGCGTTTAGTTTTCGGTAGTCTCCTACTGGCCGTATGTCGCCCGAACTTTTAGAAACTACATGAAGAGGTGATGACCATGCTGATTTTGATGGTCTACAAATACCTTGATCTATCATAAATTGAAATTTTTTTTTTTTTTACTGCTTCGTATAACTTAGGGCTTAACCTACGCGGTTTACTGTGCACAGGAGGACCGTTTGTTTCGATGTAATGAACCGTACTATGTTTTACTCTACTCTACCCGAATCGGATTTTAACTTCAGTACTTTAGGAAAGTCTTTCAAGATTCTGTGATATGGTGAATCACCAGATATTAACTTTACCGAAAAATAATTTTTAGAATCGGAAAGAGAACCAATACGAGTTAATTTCGTAGTATTATCGATAAGCCTACCTCGTTTTAAATCGATTAAAAGATCAAAATGCCTTAAAAAGTCGGCTCCTATTATAGGCACTGGTACATCGGTGATTAAAAACTTCCAAGAAAAGTTTCGTCTAAGTCCTAAACTCACAGTTAACAATTTTGTTCCATACGTAGAAATTCTGGAATTATTCGCGGCAAATAATTGAAGCGAATCAGGATGCATTTTCCTAAACTTAGAAGTCGGTGTCACATATGAAACATCCGAGCCCGAATCAATCAAAAAGTTTAAATTTAATCTGTTATCGTAAACATGTAAACGACATGAATGCGCGACTGCCGATGAATTTCGATCGATAGCCGCTACTACTAGTTTTCCTGGGCCGTAGTGTTCTGAGAAAAGGAACAAGGTGCTCGACATTTTCGTGCATTACTACCGAATCGCGAATGAAAATAACAATAATTGTTCACACGCTCTCGGGAATGCCCACGCGAAAAACTACGTGCTTTGTTATGTTGATCCCGGGGGAAATTATTCCTCGTTTTTCCGCGGGAGAGTCGCTCGACTTGTTTACTTAGGGCAGAGATTTCACTCCTTAAGGCCTTAAGCTCCTCGAGGGGGGCACCAGAATCGTTAGGGTTTCTGGGGGAACTGGCCGAAGCTGCCTGGACCGCGAACACGCTGTTGTTCGTTGGCGTGCGCACTTCAGCTATCTTATCAGCCATTTTTGCTAAATTGTCTAAGGATTCCAAACTTATTGATAAAATGGCATGCACCTCGGAAGGTAACCTTTGCAGCCATAATGATTTTAAAAATTCGTCAGTTATACAGTTTCCAGTTTCCACCTAATTCTCTCATTTTTCTCAATAAGTGAGATGGTTTGTCGTCCCCTAAATGCAATTCAGAAATAAGTCTGCGTATTTGCTCGCTTTCCGAATCTGAGAATTCTCCTATTAACCTAGCTTTAAGGGCATCATATTTAGCCGTCGCTGGGGGATTAAATAAAATATCTGATACTGCGGAAAGAGTTTCAGGGTCTATCGAAGAAACCACGTGGTTGTATTTTGTACTATCGCTACTAATCTTCGCTAAAGCAAAGTTACTTTCAACTTGAATAAACCAAAGTTTAACATTATTTTTCCATAAAGGGGGAATTTTAACTGCCACGTGTGAGATTTGTGGCTCCTGAACCGCCATATTCGATTCCTCGTTGGTTTGGCCTTCCGATCCTGGCATGGTTGCCAATTATAAATATATCGTAAATCGTAAACTTAATGTTTTGCACTATACCTTATCAAAACAGTATCAATTTAGAATAAAATAATGAAGACATTCAATATCTCAATAAAAGTGTGAGCACAAATATTACTCAAAGATCAATTTTAAACAATCAATAATTAAATTAAAACTATAATTTTAGAGCAAAACATATCACAAAAACATAATTAAGACCAATCACAGATAATTAAAAAAATTTGACCACATACCTGTAAATCCTCCTTAAGTGTGATAAACCACGTGTAATCCGTACGATAAAATGAGGAGGAAATAAATAGGGTTGAGCCTTTATCAGTCATAAGGAAGAGCATTGGCATCAAAATAAGGCATATTTTTAGTTTTTAAACAAAGATTGAGACAGATAGTCATTAGGGATCGAAACAGAAGGAGCGAGGGACAGGGTCACCAATGATGTACGTGTGAGTAACACGTGCATACGAAAATATCCCTAACATTAACTAGGAAAGCCGAAATCTTAGTTAAGATAGACATGTTACAATTAATAATCAAATTTAATAAGGAAAAGTAACAGTTGCCGGGTACATTATAACGGCTTAAGAAATTCAGAGCACAGTACAGATGCGAGTACACAAGTTCACATATCTCTCGGCGAAACAGAGACGCACACATTTGTTGAAGTAGTTCCACTTGACTGCCGGGAAAATTCTTCTCTCCCCGTCAGCCTGTAGGTTTGCCAAACGGGTTTACTGTTTCGCCAATTGGCGCTTTTCTGTACAGTTTTTAAGTCCGTATCGCCTGTTTGGCGCTGCGCTGCACTTTTTTATTATTAAATTTATGTAAAAAGAAACATTATGGAAGCAGAGTAAAACTATCAGATCATTTTATAATTTATAAAAATTGCTAAAATAACTAATGGCTAGCTATTTCGCTACCGACTTATCGCTAAAATAATTTTATCTCGTTGGTTGTTCAAACGTAATTTTCTATAATGAATGATGCCTTTTCTTTGAAAATATTCTCGGTAAAGTGCAGAATCGCTCACTTATTTGTTTGCCGTTTTTTACAAGTGTAAAAACAATCGGATTTTTGCCAATTTTCTTTACTTTTTAAGTGAAAATAGGTCGATGTGTACATACATAAAGTCAAGGGTGTGCGCAGTGCCATTTTTGTGCAATTCTAGGATTTTTTTTAAAGTCAAAATAGGTCGATGTGCACATGGATACCGAGTATGTGCAATTCATAAAAATGCGTCAAGCAGCGGATGATTCTGCACTTTACCCAAAATTCTATTGCCGAGTTTTCGTCATGGGCAATTCCCAAATTGTTAAATCCATAGGATATCAAAAAAGGATTTAAAATCAAAAAAGGATTTAAAAATTAAACTAGTATTTCAATGGCGTCTTAAGAAATATATAACTACATAAACTTACGCAATCTGAAATCAGCGCGTACGCTAGATTTGGCGCGCTGTTAAATGGGCGCGTTTGCTAGATTTGGCGCTTTTGCGCGTACATTTTCGCTGCAATTTTTTTACGGCCCTCGAAACCGAATAGTAACAATTTTTATTTAAATAAATTATATATTCATTTAGATATTTACGAGATTATTAGACACACTGAACACTGATTTCTTACTTGTCCATGAAAGGTTTTTCTCCTGGTTAAGACAGCCGTTCTTTTACGATGAAGGGGTATTGTTCCATTACTCGATGCATCTCCATTCACATCTTTCGTTACATTGCCATTGTTAAGCTCGGGAACTCTACCATTTGAAGTATAAATCTTTCTTCTGCTCCAGTAAGGCTGCGATTTTACTTCAGGCACAGACATACTGAAAGAAATATGCAAATAATCCAAACATTGTCTGCATATGTAACAGAAAATGAAAAGAAAAGAAATTGTTATGTTCCCCGATTTCGATTTTTACATCATATAGAGAATGTTTAAACGTTTTTAGAATGAAATCGATAAAGAATTAAAAAAAAGAAAATATTAGAAATAATAAATGAGAATATATTGCTTTCTTTTCAAACGAAGTATTTTCAATGTGTCCCATAGCAATAAGCTCTGTGATTAAGACTACTTAATGCTAAGAGTTCTACCCTGTTTGATTCCTCGCCAACGTGCTGGCTGCATTGTTGGCTTCTGCAGTTTTCCATATCTGGATGACTATGAAGCAATTTCCCCTAGTAAAGTCTCCTCAAAGCCATCCCTCGCGCCAGGCATTTAACCCTCCTTTTATTTGCTTTTTTTCAAATAACCTAACCTTCACTCAAACAAATCAGTTATGGCATGAAATTTGAAAGAAATTAATTTAAATAACTTTTACAAATCTCTCGATTGGGTATACACTAGAAATTAAAGAATTCACACACACACAGATACACTAAAAACAAATATTAAACTGAAAGATTTCAGACTTTTTACTAAGCCCAAAGGACAACAGAGCCTAATTAAGCCACAGAGCCCCTAACCGTACGAGGGGGGCGGGCTGCTCTGCACAAGCAAACAAAGATCAATGTCAGAGCATGTCAAAAAATTGCTTTGGATCTCAATAGCAGAAAAACATTTATGTATACAGTATCATGTGGAATGCTTCATTTATGTATAGCATATATTTCTCTCACTGCATTTGTATTTTAGTTTCAAACAGCGTTACAATAATAACAAAACGATCTGCCAGGATAGTGGTTAGTGACTACCGTACCGAAGGGCTCGCGTTTGAATCCCGGAGAAGGCATGACTGTTTGTAAATGCATAGTGTCTGTGCGATATGGGGGCATTCAAAATATGCGGCGAATCGAAAGTTCTCTCGAGAGGATGATGGTAAGGGGAAGAGGGGTGGAAAACCCTCGGACCCTTTTCTCCGGGGTGCTCGCTCTGCTTCAAAATTAGGGTGGAGCTGAACAAAGTCGTACTGTGAAATAAGCAACGACAGGCGCAATTTTGACTTTTTGCGATGAATTTTATGCGATGAACTCTTTGCGATTAATCTCAATTTTGATTCTTTACTATGAATTTCGTGGGTTTGTTCTGATTTCAGACAAGCAAGATTAGTCACAACTAACAATATAATCTTTATTTATTATTGGAAATGCTCGTTTCGTATACAAGCAAAGTTTTAAAACTGTTTAATGACGTATACAGCAGTACCACTGTGTTCCACAAATCTTAGTACTGAAAAAAGATGTGCGGATCGCTCTGACCAACAAATCCTCTAAAAGCCTTATAGGGAATATAGTAGCTAGAGCTAGCTGTTTTTAACATGCATTGTTATGGCCAAAAGATAGTATTTAGCACACTTTGAGGGTATAATAATAAGATATCCCGCAGCTTCTCATCGATAGGGTCAGATTTACAAACCTGAAGACTGGGACAAAACTTGTTACGAAAGCTTCCCTCCTAATTTTGTTCACCACTGTAGGTAATATTAATGCAAATAAAAATAAAGTTCAAAAGATTTAATAAAATAGCCTTGTAATTAAACAGTTTTTATTTATAGTTAATTAAACAACTTCGAAGTTAATTAACAAATTTTCTTGCAAGGTCTTAATTTCCTATTTCTTTAATTCTCATTTTGCATTTTTTTGCCTTTATTGGATATTTTGAAACTTATTAGTATTGAATTTCACTCTTTCTGTGTCTTTGTCTAGAATGGATTCTAAATTTCTTACTTTTTGTCTCTCTATATATGCATATATGTATGTACAATTATTTTAGGCAGCTAGCCATGCAATCGGTTTCTTTGAATAAAATACGGAAGGCATTATGGGGTTTAATACTTAATTAAAAAATAATACAGATTAAATAGAGATAATACAGATAAAATTAATAAAAAAACACTGAAATATGCTCTCAATAGATCCAAAACATATGCTGAACTTCAGGAAGTATGCAATTTCTTTTACTCAAAAGTGAAAGGAAGTAGAAAAAGTCGCTTTAAAAAGTAAATTCGAACACTTAAATTCAAGTATGATATCGAAATATTACTTACCAATTTGATTTAAGGTGTCAGATATCTTTATATATCCACACAAATGGAACTTTTAAATGCTTATATATTAAATGCGATTTTTACATGCATTTTAAAACATATTCCATGTGGAAATTTGCTCTAGAAACAAAGTTATGGTAAAAAACAATTCTACACTTTTACTGTTTAAAAAACCAGATGGTTTGTTTTATATTTGCATTTCAGCTAAATCTTTGCATTCCTTCAATAACATGCATACAACACTTTTATATACAGTTTTAAATAATATAATTATTGTAATGATAGAAAGGTTAACTTAGTAGTCTTCTATCAATATACTTAAACTTTTTAAGAAAGTAATGAGCCGACAGACCCCAAGATAATTTTATTTTTTAATTAAGATTTCATATATATGTAATTTTTCTGCTACTTTCTGATTTCTCTGAACTAGTCTATTAGAATTTTTTAAATATTATTTGTTCAATTGTGTAAACACTATTTTCTGTAAAAAATGAAAAATTAATGTGCTTGTGACACACAAGCTTTAAGAACTATAACTAAACTTAAATTCGCATGAAAATTTCGACTCCTGAATTTTTACTATCTCAATTAAAATTATGATGATTATGCGAAATTTCTTTGATACCGTTCGTCAGTTCAGGAAATTTTGATCAAATGTTTAAGTCCTATACAAGTGTAATAAAACTTACTGTCATGAAATATTACATTAAAAACATTTTACAAATAATCTTTAATTTTATGTTAAAAATATTTTTTTTGGAGTCCCAAAACAAATTAAAAAAGTGTAGTTCCGTTTTTCTGAAAGTAGGTCATTTTGGTTATACATTATTATTATTTTTTTTTAATTTAGAAAAAGCGAATCTGCTAAAAATAGTGATTTGTTTATCGAGAATCTTCCAGTTTATCCGGTACATGTTACAATTACATCCTAGTAATAAAAAAGATATTTTGTTTTCATTCCATTTAAAATATTTCAATATCTGAAAAATAATAAATACAACATAAAGGTTATCAAAGTAAGTGTACAAAATTTTGAGATCATAAACCAGGTAATTATAAAGATATTGAGCTTTAAAATGCGTAATAATTTTGATTTATTTTTAGCTTTCAAAAATACCTGACCTATTAAATAAATTTAAGTGAAAGCATAGATAATATTTCTGCTCGCGAAACTCTTTCGCTTTAGTTTTAAAACTATCGTCCGGCGTTTTAACTCGGTTCACTATAAAATACATTCTCGAATGTTTATAATTTAATTTAGCAAATAATTAATATTATATATCTTGCTAATCAGTTAAAAGAAAAGTATAAATGATTTGAACAAGGTTTCTCAGTTCTATGATATTTTTAAAATATTCAGATTTAGTTTTAGTTTAAATTTAGAAAATAATTTTTGGTACACACAAAAATTACTTTTTATATTATTATTACTTTTACGATTTTTTTAAATACTATGAAAATATACTACTTACACTTCAGTAGCCATCGCCTTTCTACCAATTTTAGTAACTTAAAGCATATTCTCCTCATAAATAGAAAATGCGATTTAACAGAGACAAAAGTATGTACGTGACGAACGCAGAAAAGATTGGCAACAACTTCAGCGATACTCTAACATCATTCACACATCGGACGAAATCCCTCTATGACCGTTCTACTTCCTGATTGGTGGGAAAACTCTTCGCATTTATCGATTTTGCGGGTATTTGGATGCGCAACAGTTTTTCAGGTAATACATTCACGATGATTAAAAAAAAAGTGAAATAAAGTAAGCAAGTTTAATTCTGGTTGATGTCTCTCATAACCGTGATGCAAAGATTTCGAATATATTTTGATAGAGAAAAATGTTGCTCACTTCTTTTATTATTGGTCTTTAGACGTTCATTTGCTGCGTCAAGAGAACTTTGTAATTTACGCGGCCAGGCATCTAAAATAGTTATTACGAAAAAGGAAACATATGTAATGATTTTAATGTGTCTTACTGAGTAATTTCTTAAAAATATTTAATATTTCTAATTAGATATCACGTGATTAAAATGCATCTTCATTTAATTCAATCTGATTAAAAAGCAGAAAAAGTATCCCTCAGGACTGCCTTTATTGCTCTTAAATCGCATAGTTTGTAAATTTATTACAGTTAAGTTCGAAAGCTAAATATCTGTGGCTTTGAATGGCAACATGCGAGTGGAAGATAGAAGTCAACAATTGCTTTTCTATAGTTCAGTTTGTTTATTAAAATTTAAAGATATATATATTTTATTTTGTCGAATATTTTATTTTATTTTGTTTGTTTATTATTATAGTTTATTTTGTTTTTTTTTGGGGGGGAGGACAGTATTGCCACTGCTCACTTTCAAATCGCTGAATTTGTTAATCAAAAATTCATTAAATTCGAACAAAATCTAAAATAAATGAAAAACAAGTTCGAAATTCAAAATTCGGGTTCCGAGATGCCTATGTTCGTGTCGACGACTACATGGATTCGGTGGCTCTGAATGCCGTCATGAGAGAAACAAATAAACATTCAATACGTACATATTCTTCATTATTTAATTTTTTTTTTAGAAAAAATAAATGGCGATAGCATGTGGTGGCAACAATTTGAAAGCAATTTGAAGCAAGTTTTCTCCTAAAAGCTTTTCTATACTTCCTTTTATAAATGTTTTTATTTCTGTTATGCAATGGTATTCTAAATAACTAACTAGCTGCAAAGTATAATGAAATGTGTTATTTCAAACAGTTTTGCCACTGCTCGCTTTCATATCTCTGTGTTTAATAACCAGAAATTCATTAAATTTGTACAAAACCTGAAATAAATCAGAAACTAATTCGAAATTCAAAATTCGGGCATCGAGGTGCTCATGTTCGGGTGGAGGTATGGTATTCAAAATTGGGTGGCTCGAGGTGCGATCGTTTTTACTTCCTTGTACAAAGTAAAAAGTATAGTAATCGCGAAAATTTTCAGGCATCATATTTCAACGGAAATATCCATTTTGACCGCTATCGAATGCAATTTAACGATATTTTTGCGTGACATCTGTATGTAAGTACAGAATAAAAGACTCTTTTTCCCCCAAAAAATTATGAAACTGATTTAAAATGAATTCTGAAGAGAATTTTTCTGTAGCCACGTACGTATCTCGCAAAACTCAAAGACGAGTAGCCTCAGAACGTTGAAATTTTGTATATAGGACTGCTATAACATGTAGATGTGCCCCTCGTATTTTGGTTGCAATCGCCGCCTCAAACATACGTAAATGTATGTATATATATATCCCACTCTGTTAACCGGCTTAGTGATCTTAGTTTCTTTACTCTTATATGTTTGTAAGTTGTGCATTTTTTTTTTTCCTTTAAAAATGATTGAATTATGTTGTTCTTATCTTCCAGTTAAGGTTTTTATGCCTTTAGCAAATCTGTATGCAATATTTTTGGAGTTATCAAACAATTTAAAAGTTGTTTAAGTGCAGCTAAGCCTAATAAATTTTTTTGATTGGCGGACATGTATGTTTACATTTTGAAACTTGGCAAAATAGCGGATTTGTTGCCAATCTAGAAGAAACTAAGCTTCGCAACAACAAACATAACGCCTTTTTTTATTATTGCGAATTAAATCATGTTTAATACATTCTGGAATTTATTCGAGGAAATAAGGGTTTAGAATTTACCTCGTAATTTTTAATACAGATATTTTGAATTTATATGTATTTTTTCCTTGTCGGGAAGTTAGAACTGAATTAAATGAATGAGAAATACTGAATCATCTGTAAAAAACTGTGTCTTTTTTGTTTTGTTTGCTTAATTTCTTTTATAATCTTTTTAGATTTATTCTAGTATTTGAACACATGTGGCAAAAATTAGATAATTCTTCAAATGATATAAATTTATATGCACTCCGATTTATAATATGATTTTGTACCTGATATAGCAAGTTTTGTGGACTGTATTTGTATATATTGTATTATATTCTGTATGCGACAGCTCTATGCGTAGTAGATAAGACAAACAATTGGAAACTTTCCATGACCGGTTCGAGTCCCGATAGAATTGTTTACGCACATATACCTGTTCAAAATTGTTTCTCATTTTGCAACTTATTTTTATGCTCTTCACTGTATTTATGCCAAATAGAATTTGCCTCAAGAAACTATCTCAAGGAAAATCTACTTCTTCAAAGTTATGCCATTGCTTTATCCCATGGCATCAGATGGCGCCACATGAACGTCACTCCAAAGATACGCAATTACCACGGAGTAGTCATTACTGGAGATTACTGAAGTCATCAGATGGCGTCGTACTTCTTTCTCTTATGAGATCCGCACCCAGTGCTTTAAGACTTTCCGCTTATTCGGATTTTTTTTTTCCCTCATCTTTATGCCATTAGAAACTTAAGAAATATAGACTAGTAAAAGCTTCAACAGGCCGCATGCCTTTTATTACGAAGCGATTAACGATACAAATGCGAAGTTCGAAAGGCGAGTATAACACTTGACGGTTCTTGTACGAATGCTATTTTTGTTTCGACGAGTTTGCACCAGTGGTAATTTTGATCTTGATTTGGTATACAAAAATACATGACGACATCTTTCATTTATATTTTATGAAAAAAAAAATTATCACAGTAATACAGACACATCGCAACGGCGAACCAACAGTTACATAATGTAAACACATAAGAATTCTTTCGGCGCAACAGCGCCCTCTATACCATGAAAAGTTCTAACATACCCCACCTGTGCTCTGTTAAGAGTACACATCAATAATATATGTAGATATAATCACAAATCAATATGCACGAATCACAAATCAATTCTGAAAACTACATTGCAAATTAATACAATACATGACACAAACATATATTACATATAACTTTAAACTTCAAAAGGATATATAAATTGGACGGGTTTCGATAAAGTCCTTAAGAAGTACGAATCAAACAAGAACGCACATACCCATCCTACCTTTATAAACTTCTATAATTCCAATAGGCCATAAAAATTTTGATTTCGTCGACCCCTCCAGCAATACAACCTCACCCATTTTAAGATTCCTTTCAGGAAATGGATTTCGAAAAGCATGCGCAGACCTCAATTCGAGGAGATAATTCTGCTTCCACTTTTTCCAAATTTTTTTTCAAAAGATTAGTTTGATACAGTTTTCTTCTAGTCAAAGTCTGCCTGTACAATGGTTCATTCCTGAAAAGGTCGGCAAAATGTACAGGATAAGAAATATTTTCTTGCCCTGGAAACAAGAATTGGTCAGGTTTGAGAGCTTGTGGCTCTTTTATTTTATTGTGGACATAAGTAAGAGGTCTATGATTTAGAACTAACTCAATTTCTGATATAATAATCATCATTTCCTCAAAGTTAAGAAGATTCCTTCCAAGAATCTTTCTCAAAGGATCTTTGATACTTTTCATAAGCCTTTCATAAAAACCACCTCACCAACGCGCGTGAGGCGCAATATATTGCAAAGTTATGCCGTTTATTGATACGAAATCTTTCAATTTTGAATCTATTATAATTTTTGAAAATTCTTTAAGAATTTCATTAGTGGCTCTAAAGCTCTTAGCATTTTCGGAAATGATAAGTTTACAATTTCCTCTCCTAGCTAAAAATCTCCTTAATGACAAAATAAAATTTCTTGTTAACATATTTGTGATTAATTCTATGTGCACAGCTCTAGTCACACTGCATGTAAATAATGTTATGTAAGTCTTTTGAGGCGTATCCTTTCCTGATTTTATTAAAACTGGGCCAGTGAAATCTATGCCAGTTACAGTAAAAGGAGGATTTTCAGTAATTCTGTTTTTAGGTAGTTGGCTAGTTATTTGTTTAGCTGGATTCAGTTTATACTTTCGACAAATTAGGCAGTTACCTAATATTTTTTTTTTATAATTTGTCTACCTCGAGGAATCCAAGTAGTGGTAGTGGTAGTGGTAGATTTATGGCGCAAAGCTCTATTGGCCATATGCGCCAAACACAGGATTCGTATTTCAGCATATAAAAGTATAAAAGAAAAAAGTCTAAAGCAACAGCACACTTTTAAAATCGAGGCAAGTAAAAAAGATAGTGAAATAGTGGGATGAAAATGTTGATTATGATTCAGATAATGAAATATGCAATATAGATACAAAATTTTAAAATATCTGATTCATTAAAATTCTAACATAAAATCTCAAGACAAAAATTCAAATTAAATAATAGAAACCTGTTCTTTCAGGTAGTCAAACAAATTGGTATTGACCTCTCTTCCGATTTAAACGGTCGAGAGGCAGGTCGCAGCTATTAAAAACTCCTCACGAAGACTATTAAAATATGGACATTCAGTTAAAATGTGATAGACTGAGAGACAACATCACAGTTTGCCCAAACAGGCTCGTTTTCAGCTTTCAAAAGGTAGTTATGTGTCACTCTAGTGTGACCAATTGTGAGGCGAGTCAAAAGAACTTCCTCCTTACGATTACTTCTAAAATCTCAATGCTCAGTTCTAGGCTTTATACTTCTCAACTTGTTATGAAGCTGAACGTCCCGATGTTGGTGCCATTTTTTTCGGATCTTCTCTTTGATGACCCAACAGATATGTCTAAGAGG